TGACCCCACTTCTCAGACCGTTGATCCACGAGAATCACTCCCACTCCAATCTTCTTATTGTTGTTGATGTCTTCGTTTATGATTATGGACTCCACAGACGTCAGGAAATCGTTTCGGATTAAGTTGTTGAAAGGCATTGAGAGACGGTTCTGTGTTGGGTTTACATCAGTCACGAACAGAGTCTTCTCAAATATCAGTTTAGCGTCTTTAACTTCTTTCATGTCTCTCATCACCTTGACAAGCCACTCAGGCGTCTCTCTCGCTGTCCCTGAAGAAGGAGCAACCTTTGCTTTCTTGACTCCACCACTACGCTTCCTCTGTTCCACAGCACGTCTCTTGCGGCTTGTGTTCTCCGTTAGGCACAAAGACAGAGAAGATTGGGAATTAGGATTTTGTGGGTCTTTCGTCTCCCTCTCCTCGGACTCAGCCATCTTGTAATCAAAGACTACGAGTGAAGAACAAGAGTCAGAACTAGGTTTTGTAGTGTTTTCGTCTCGGAATCAGCGGGGATGAAACATGAAGAAGATAGCAACTGAAGATGGTTTTGTTCTGTCTCAGAATCAGTAGGGAACTGGTTAAGATCGATAAGCGATGAAGAAGTAGAAGTTAAAAACCCATTAAGCTTTTGTTGTCTCTTCACCAAAGACGATCTTGTTTTTCTCGGGAAGAGACAAAAGATTCTCTTCTGGCTTTCTGCTTCTTCTTCAGAGACAGTCGTACGACGTTGTTCTTCTTCATATAACATAACCCCGCATCAACCAGTACACATAAATTCGACCACATGCCTTTCCCTGAAGCCGTGAGATGAACCTCATCGTAATACATACTCATTGTGAATTTTTGATAGAATCGAAAACTTCAAGTTCTTCTGAGAGAAAAAACGTGAGATACACAAGGAAGTCAGAGAAACTGAGAGAAAGTGAGAATGAGAGAGCCTCTATTGCCTTAAATAATACTTACGCTCTATGCTTAGTGCTTACTGCTTACATTAAATTTAGGGTTTCCTTTTTTTTAATTTAGTTTTTAATTACTGTGATTAGTAACTAATTATAGCCGTTGTCTGATTTCCTTTTCGTTAATAGTTAACCTTATAATATTTGGTCCCTGTGTCGGTATTTCCTTTTTCCAGGAGTGAGAGAACTAAGAAGAAGTGCGTACTTACAGTTTGATTGGTTAACATTTTGTTTTTCCTTTTTGAAAAAGATAGAAATAAATCTATAAATATAAGTTTTTTGAAATAATATTTTATGAGATTTTCAGATTGGCTTCTTCTTCTTGACATTATATCTTCCAAACAGCTCAACCGAGTAGAGGGCTTCCTCTTTCGATATGTATTTCAAGCAGTTACCTATACCATATGGAGAGAAAGGAATGGGCGGCGACATGGAGAGAACCCACAAACAGCTGAACGCATCACGGGGTGGATTGACAAACATGTAAGGAATCAAATCTCAGCAGTCCGACTTATGGGAGACAGAAGGTATGACGACGCGTACCAACTCTGGCTTCAAGCTCGCAGCTAAGCTTCAACGGGAGGTCTAGATATTCAAAATAGTTTCAAATTTTGCTTCAATTTTTGTTTCAACCAAACGATGCACAAGTTGTAAAACAGTACATTTTTTCTTTTGAATATAATTTAACATTGCATTAAAAAAAAAAGAGATTTTCAGTTATTATCTTGTGATAATGTTTTATGAGACTGTGACAAGTATGGCGAGGAGTGCGCCACATCTATCGTGGTTGGAGAGGATGATGTTTCAAAGTAACGGATCTCGGAGATGTGTTCTCTTATGTTCCAAGTTCGATGCAGATCCAGTAATTAAGGTTAGGTACATGCAGAAGGCAGAAGAAAAGGAGGAGATATATTTCCTGCACCATCTCTTTTTTTATTCATTCATATCATTTGAACAAGCCTGGTCAATTAATTTTTCTGTTTAGTTAAGAAAAGACAAACATGCTTTGCTGATTTGAAACTAAACTTGATTATTGTTGAATGACTCTTACTAATACTAAGGTAGAGGATATATACTGTACATACAAGTACTTTGAAACTTTGATATCTGTCAAGTTTTATGTCTTTTTGTTAATTATTTTGTGGCATCATATATATAGTAATCAGAATCCTAAACCCTAGAAAAAATATATAGGAAAACAAAAACCAAACGAAACCAAGGAGGCTAGTTTATGAAAAATGTGCAAAGATTTTGTGAATTCAAAATTTTTTGAGTAATGAAAACAATATAGGGAACTGCTTTTTTGTCTTATGAGCAGAGATTTGTTTGGACACCTGAGGATATCTTGAAACAATGTCACATCGGAGAAAGAAGTCATATATGACAAAGTTTATGCAGGTAACTATCCTTGGAGCAAAACTTCTCTAGACAAGAAAACTAGATCTTTTTGATGGGTGTAAGAGAAACCTTGTGTTTGTGTAGAAATATAGAATATACCTTCTTGAATTTATTCACAATGATACAAAGATATATATACACACATGTGTAGATGGCTAAACCTAAACTTGTCGATCAAGTTATACTTGTCGATCACGTTTACAACTTAAGGCCAAATAACATAAGATATAGTCCAATACTCCCCCTCAAGTTGGAGCATGGAGATTAAACAATGCTCAACTTGGACACTAGATGCTCAAAATGTTGTCGATGTAAAGCCTTTGTTAATAAATCAGCGAGCTGATCAGCCTTTGGATCGTGACTGGTAGAAATGATATTTTCTTGAACGGCATCTCGTACGGCATGACAATCCACCTCAACATACTTAGTCCTCTCATGAAACACTAGATTTGCGGCGATGTGTATAGCCGCTTGATTATCACAAAATAACTTTACCGGATCAAGCAGCTGGTAACCAAATCATAGACCAATTGTCGCAGCCACAAGAGCATGGCACATAGACCTATATTCGGCCTCTGCAGAAGAACGTGAAACCGTTTGTTGTTTCTTAGCTTTCCAAGAAATTGGCGGGCCTCCAAGGAAAGTGATATAAGCACTCAACGAACGTTAGCGGACATGCGGCATAATCAGAGTCGCAATACGCAGTTCATTCCATAAGTGAAAAAAAGTAATCATATAAAATTGTGAATCTTATTTGTGTGAGGGATTTACAACCATATGTCTCTCCTATCCTTTCCCAAATTGTTTTTTATACCATCGACCACCATACATGTCTAAACTTAGAAAGGCATGATCACAAGAAGCTCCAACAAATTACCGAGTACACAATGGTTTAGAGTAAACTATACAACTCCGGGTGGAGCCGAGGCGTTACAACAACTTCCACCGGTTTAATCTTTGGCAAGTCTAAACCAGGCCCTTCGGCCATATCCAGTGGTTCACCAGACACTTTGCGTAACTCAAACCCTTGAAGCAACCGAGCCAACACGAAGTGTACAACTCTTAGACCAAGATTGATCCCTGGACACGACCTTCTTCCAGAACTGAAAGGAATGTACTCAAAATCGCTCTTTTCACATTGTGATTTCTCTTCCATGAACCTCTCAGGCTTAAAGGCTTTGGGGTCAGGCCAGATCTTGGGATCCCTATGAAGTTTCCAGATGTTGACGAGCAAGCGCGTGCCTTTCTCAACACGGTATCCTCCCACGAAACAATCTTCACGTGCTTCGCGGATTCCTGATCATTCATCATTTTGTACAACCAAATAGGTTTTAGCATATACAAGATTAATAAAGACAATTAAGAGTCTTTGATTTGTGACCTGTAAGAGGAGCCGGCGGGTAAAGTCGGTGAGTTTCCTTAACAATAGCTTGTAGATACTTGAGGTTTTGTATGTCGGATTCTTCAACCCATCTACCTTTCCCGACACAATTGTCAATCTCTTCTTGTGCTGCTTTTAAAGCAGCTGGATTGTTGAGTAGCAGCGATACTGCCCATGTCAAAGTGATGGATGTGCTGTCTGATCCCGTTAATGTGAGAACCTACAACAAGAAACAGAACATTTTTATTTTGTGTGAAAGAAACAGAACATCTATATTGGTAGACTTTCATTTCAAAACCAATTGGTAAGGAGTAAATTATAAGTCATATTTCTTATATCCAACATATATCCAAATTAACGAGAGTGGTGAAACTGTGCATACCAAAATTGTTGCCTTCACAATGACATCGCGTACATGTCCACATATCACAATACCTTCTGAGAAGATGTCGAGCAGTAGATCCATGATTGTTTTTTCTTGATCCTTCTCATTTATTGATCTCTTCTTAAGATGTTCTTTGAGCCACTTGGTGATGACTGAGTCAAGCTCCTTAAATAATCTCTTCATTTGAGAAATTTTTGCAAAATCCAACCATCCTAGCCATGGAAGAACGTCGCCTATCATAGGAACCGCAGCCAAGTACACGCTATGCTTCAACGCTTCCTTATAACGCCATTCCTCGCTCTTCACTTCACCGAAACCAATCCTCTTCCCCACCATCTTCCTAAGGATTATATTGAAGGTCAAAAACTCGAATAACATGTCAATCTTCACCATCGAAGTGCCACCACCCCCTTTGTATAGGTGTTTGATCAATGCGTTTACTTCTGAAGAACGAATGTGACCAAGCATCTCTATACTCTGGTTTGAGAATAGATGGACGGTGACAATCTTACGTAACTCACGCCAATAGTCTCCATAGGGAGCCAATGCCAGAATTGCATTGTTGTAGCCTACATACCGACCAAAGGCTATATTGGGTCTGGTTGCTAGAGCCAAGTCGTTGGTGGTGAAACAATCTTTCACCGTTTTTGGGTCGCTGGCTACAACCAGCCTATAAAACCCTAACTTAAGGGAGAAGATAGGACCATGTTTTTCGGACATGGCAGCTAGTTTCTTGCAAATGAGTTCTTTGCCGCGCAATAGATGGAGGTGGCCGAATAGAGGCAAAGCTCCTAATGGCTCTGGGATGGTGGAGCTATCAACTTCACTTTTACTCAATTTTTTTCCGAGGAAAATGTAACCGGCGATTACAAGGGCCAAAGAGAAGAGAGAAAATTGGAGAGTAGTAAAGAGAAAAATCATGGTGATTTTTTGTTTGATGTATGAGATAATGAGAATGTAGCTTTCTTTTACGCGTATATATATAGAAGTATGGTATGAACTATGAGGTAATGTAGCTTTCGTTTACGATATATGTATGTATTATTATAAACATCATTAAAATGTTGCGTAAGTATCACAACCTCTCTTCGACGGGAAAGTTTTAAGCCAAGAATTGTTTTTGAGTTTATTTTATAAAATATGTCACTCAAATTTCATAACAGGTAATCAATATTAGTCATACTTACGCAATAGTACTAATTATCAGTTAAAGAAAAATAAAATCAAAGGGTCGTTTATTGACTAAATTTAAATTTAGTGTTAACTCGGTTTAAAACTTAAAAAGCTACGATGTTAAAAAACATTTCCGACAATTCAACCACCACAAGAAAAAAGATAAATCAGCAATACTATTTACAAGTTTTATTTTTGAATTTCAACAAATTTATAACCGTTAAACTCCATTTGATAAAATCCAAAGACACCATCAATTTTGTGGGGGTTGGTTAGGGCCTAGGCGCCTAGCTAATACAGAGATGGTCCTTAAAATTGTCAGAGATATTTTGATTTGTCGTTGATGTCTCCATTGAGAAACTCTATACGTTATTTCATTCACATCATATATGACAAAGAGACATGGAGTACGTAGTACGACTGATTAGTCATGTGATTATATTTGTGTGGCCATATTTAAGTATCGCAATTTTCACATTGGAATTGACATTTCATACATATCAATTTCCAAGCATGTATAACGCATGGGAAAGGAAACAAAAGATCGAAAGATGTTAAAATTCGTTTTATCATGATAATGCGTATAAAATAAATATAAAATATAATGAAAGGCTATCCTTGATGAAAGGCGTCTGCGAGATCCCACGTCAAGTTAAGCTGATAACTCCAGAATCAAAGGAATCTCCCGAGTTTCCTCCGATCAATCACAGCTGCGCCTTCGAAATATTCTTCTCGGAGTGCGGTCTATCTTTTCCTCTTCTGGGGATTCTGGTCGAGCTTATGCACGAACTAGGGATTGCCCTACCTCAACTCTGCCCAAATGTAGTTCGGGTAGTACTCTGTCTTCAGACTCTTGCTGAAGAGAATGGATACCGGATCACGCTCTCCGACATCTTTCAGTTGTACACATTGAAGAAAGGGAGAACTTCGGGGACCTTCTTTCTCAGTCCGCGAAGTAAATTCAGAGTCTTTGCGGACTTCCCTGAGAAAGACGAGAAATGGAGGAAATCATATTTCTTTTTCCCTGTTGACGAATTCTCCTATGGTCCGAACACAGAGTTTTTTGTCCGAGAATGGACACATCGTCCGGGTTAGATGGCTTTTTAGAGATTGTATTGCATGTTTTTCTCTTCCTAACTTTGCTTTTCAACGAACTAACCCTTTTCTTTTGTCTTTTGCAGTCAAGTTCCCGAAGAAGCCACTTTCCCATACCTTTGCGGAGCAATTCGTAAAGATTTGCAATCGCAGCGACCTCTCGTGGGAATTGTTCACCTGCGAACGCATCCGGAGTTCGTGTGCCCGAATTTACTCGCGGTCCGACCTCATTTCTTCCACCCCTCCCACCTCCCCTGCTGTTGCCACTAACATGTCTCCACTTTCCTATCGCGAAGAGAAGAGGCTCCAGAAGGAAAGGGAAAAGGCGAGAGAAGCGAGAGAGAAAGAAGATAAGGCCAGGATGGTGAAGGCCTTAGATGACGGGAAATCCAGATCTTCATCTGGTAACGGGAAGAGTTCGGGTACCGTAGATCCGGTTTCCGAGTCGAAGACCTCTGATCATCGTGATCAAAAGAAGGTGTCTTCAGGAAAAGACATAATCCGGATCTCGGATTCTCGCTCCTCCCGATCTTCTCGGGAAAAAGAAATTTCTGAAGGAGGCCATAGTGCAACCTCCTCAAGGAAACGCAGGAACGAGGAATCTGAAGTTCCTTCCCTTCAACGCAAGAGTCGTTCTCGTCTGAACGACGAGAAAAATCCTTCCGAGGACGCTGGAACCAGGCTGGGGTCAAAACCAGAAGAAAGAGAAGATTCACAACGGGCCCCGGAGTCCGACCTGCCAACTCCGCTTCTTGTCCTGCCTTCGCGGGATTCTGAGAACCGGGGATCCGTCCGTCAGGAGATTCCGATCCCTACTGGTAAGTAGAGTCACTTCGTATTTCTCTCACTTCGACTTCATTTTGACGTTTTTTTTTTACTTTAACAGCTCCTCCGAAGTCACCAGCTGATTTCATGAGGAACTTTACTCCTGTTGGGATGAGGATTCCTCCCTTTAGTGACTTAAAGGAGGTCAACAGAGCGAACTACTTTCGCTTCGCTGATAAACTCGGAGAGGTAATACTTTGAACTTTTCTCCTTATATAAAAATAAGAACTTTTCTTTGTGTCCTCATGAATCTTCGTTTTGACAGTTAATGCTCAAGTACAACACCACCTTCTCCTGCCACGAGTCCCAGCTCTTTCCTGTTAACGAGCTGGATGGCCTCAGGGCTCGGGTTGCCGAACTCGAAGATGAGATCCATCAACTCAAGGAGATGGAGGAGGAAAATGCCAGGGCGGTGGCAAAGGCGAACGAGATCCGGGAGCGAATGCTGGAGGCCGAGGGTCGCTGTAACCTTCTTGAGATTGCCAAGACTGATCTTTCCGAGAAGCTGAAGATCGGGAAGAACTTGTACCTCGAGGCATGTGACAAGGTTACCTCGCTGGAAGCTGAAGTTAAGCGAAGCGAGGAATGGTGCAAGATCGCTGCTGAGAAACGGGACGAGGAGCTCGCAGTAGCGAAAAAAGATGAAAGGATGAGGCTCCGTGAACTCTATAGCGGACTCGCCTCGAAGCATGAGACCTATTACAAGGCCATAAGCGATAACGAGATGATTGGGACGCGTCTTGCCGAGACTCGGGCGAACCGAGAACTTCTTGAGGAGATTCTGAAGGGAGAGATTCCGGACATCAAAGCCGAACTAGAGTCGGTAAAGAAAGATGAGGAAGAGGCTGAGAAGAAGGCTCGCGAGGTAAGCGCTCTCAGACCTCAACCAAATGAGTTTACTCATCTCTTTGTAGCGACTCCCCCAGAGCCCGTGCAAGAGACATCTCTTTCCGAAGATGATGTCGCCATTGATGAGTTCGGAACTAACAAGGATCTCATGGTTGGCCAGGAGTTCGAAGCTGTCGCTCTGCCCGAGGAGATGCAGCAGGATCCCGACGTCAAGGATCAATGATCTAGTTCCGTGGTTGTGATGGCTAGTGTGCCCCCCTTTATTGTTTTTTTTTAAACTCGAACCTATTTATCGCTTTTTCCTTTTTGAAGACTTGAATATTTCCCTTTTTTTTATAAATCCTTTTGAATTATAAATCCGGAGTATTCGAGAAATTTGAATACCTCGTACGAAAAATTAAGAAATACTTAAGATTTCAACGAGATACGCAGTTTACACGAACTCAGAATTCATTTCTCAATGGATTAGGGAAATATTAAGAACGAGAGTTATGTGGGTGTTCTCAATAGAAAAGATGAGGATCGGGACTCGGAGTCCGCAGAGATCCTTAGTCTGTGTTGAACCAGACCCTTTTTTGCTAAGTAAAACTTAGGCTTATCTTTCAAGAATTACCAGAGGTCTGAGCGTGGTTTCGAGAAAAGTAGTTACGAGCTTCTTCTCGGTTTAACGGATTGCGAGATAATTCTCGGCTTCTTTAAAGGATGTTTAGAAGAGTATAAACATTTTATTTGATTTAGAGACTGCACTCGAAGTTCGAGCTGCCTACGTACCCAAAGGTGGGGATCAAGTCTATCATAGTTCGATTTACAATAATGAAAATAATAAAATACTTAAACAAAGTATCTCTTCAGATGAATGGAATTCCAAGCTCTTCGGACTGCTTTTCCTTCCATGTTTTCAAGGCGATAAACTCCATTGCGAACTACCTAAGTAATTCGATAAGGACCTTCCTAGTTAACGCCTAACTTTCCTGCTCCATCTTCGGCTGTATTTTGCTGAACCTTGCGTAACACTAGTGTCCCAACGTCGAAGTGCCGATTTCGAACATTCGAATTGTAGTATCGTGCCGCGGCATTCTGGTAGTTTTGCATTCGAATTAACGAACGATCACGTCGCTTTTCGATTGTATCAATGACGTCAACCATCTGCTCATTGTTTGCAGCCTCGTTCTATAGATTGTACATCCTTCTCGGACTCGGCACAAATATTTCAGCGGGGATTACGGCTTCCATTCCATACACTAGTGAAAAAGGCGTTTCCCCGGTTGCTCGTCTGGGGGTAGTGCGAATTGCCCAGAGAACGCTTTGTAACTCGTTAAACCAAGCTCCTTTGTGTGCTTTCAATTTTTTCTTCAAGGTAGACAAAACAGTTTTATTCATTGCTTCAGTTTGACCATTACCCTGCGGGTAACGAGGCGTTGATCGACTGAGTCTGATTTGCCATTCTTCGCAGAAAGATTCGAATTGCCGTGAAATGAATTGAGAACCGTTATCAGTAACGATCTCATATGGAAAACCGTGCCTACAAATGATGTCCTGCCAAATGAACTTGCGAACTTGAACCTGAGTTATGTTTACGTAGGCTGCCGCTTCTACCCACTTCGAGAAATAATCGGTAAGAACCAGGACAAATTTCACCCCGCGCGTAGAAACATGAAGAGTCCCAATAATATCCATAGACCATTTCATAAATGGATAGGGCGAAGAGACTGATGATAATGGCTCGGTGGGTTGGTGAATTGAAGGTGCATGCTTCTGGCATTGCTCGCACTTCCGCGCATACTCCTCGCAATCCGCGATTAATGTGGGCCAGAAATATCCGTACTTTCTTACTTTATAGGCCAAAGAGCGACCTCCGGAGTGATTTCCGCATACTCCGTCATGAATCTCTTTTATCACAGTACGGACCTGCTGTCCGAAAATACAGATCATGTCAGGACCCGAGATGCTTCTTCTGTAGAGGATGTCGCTCGAAATGCAGAAACGAGCACTTTTAGCTTTCAGTCACCGTGCCTCCCACTTATCCGCAGGGAGAATACCATTAAGGATGTATTCTCTGATAGGTATCCGCCAGTCTGCCCCCCAATCCGGAAGCGGTAGCACTGGTTGCAGTGGTTCCGGATTTGGCGGTGTTCCGATTAGTGATTCTACTTCGGAGTTCTGCTCAGTTTCCTCGACCCTTTGTGGTTCTTGCTCCACACTCATCCTTCTATGCATAGACCGTGTTGTCACAAAATTCAGCTCTTCGGTGGCTATGCTGGGATGTTCAATTACTTCGACAGGAATCATTCGGCTCACTGTTACTTCAGAACTCGACGCCAATGCCGCTAAAGCATCCGCCGCTGAGTTCTCACTTCGCGGAATTCTAGTGAGTTCGAAACTAAGAAACTTTTTACTCAATTCCTGAACCTGAGCGAGGTAAGCTTCCATTCTGAAATCTTTTGCTTCATAATCACCGGAAAATTGATTAGAAACGAGCTGCGAGTCGCAGAATGCCCGTAGTTTTGTGATACCTATCCTAACCGCTAGGCGAAGTCCTGCAAGGAGAGACTCGTACTCCGCTTCGTTATTCGACGCATTAAATGCGAGACGAAAAGACTGTTCAATTATTTCACCATATGGGGATTGTAATCGGATACCGATCCCGGAACCTTGTTTTGAGGATGCGCCGTCCACATGAAGTATCCAAGGTCCTTCATTTTCTTTGACTTCCATGGAAACCAGAGGTAGTTCGATCAGAAAATCTGCGTGGACTTGAGATTTCAAGCTTATCCTTGTTCGGAACTGAATATCATACTCGCTTAACTCGATTGCCCATTTAACCAATCTTCCTGACTGACTCGGACTATGCAAAATTGCCCTTAAAGGTTGGGTAGTTAGGATAATAACCGTATGAGATTGAAAATACGGTCTTAATTTCCGAGCCGCAGTAATTACTGCCAGAGCTAGCTTTTCCATCATCGGATATCTTGACTCCGCTCCCGAAAAAGACTTGCTTACATAGAAAATCGGTATCTCGTCGTTCCGATCCAATCGCACTAACACTCCGCTTACTGCGCTGTCAGATACCGATACGTACAAGAAAAGCTCTTCTCCGAACTCGGGTTTCGCTAACACGGGAGGTTTGGACAAATAATCTTTTAGATCTTTGAAAGCCTTTTCGCAATTCTCATCCCAGATGAAATTCTTGTTCGCTTTTCGGAGCAGATTATAGAATGGAAGGCACCTATCGGTTGACTTCGAGATGAAACGGTTCAAAGCTACTATCCGCCCCGTGAGTCGCTGAACTTCCCGGATGTTGCGAGGCGAAGTCATCGCCAGAAAAGCGTTCAACTGTCGCGGATTAGCTTCGATTTCTCACTCCGTGACAATGTAACCCAAAAACTCTCCCGACGGAACTGCAAAAGTGCACTTGGTCGGGTTCAGTTTCATTCCAAACTTATTCAAAATTGCGAAGCACTGTTCTAGATGCTCAATATGCGAAGTGCTTGATATTGACTTCACCAACATATCGTCAATATACACTTCCATCGTTTTACCAAGGAGATGTTTGAACATCATATTCACCAACCGTTGATAAGTGGCTCCAGCATTTTTCAACCCGAAAGGCATGACTATATAACAGTAAGTTCCACGGTCCGTGATGAAAGCTGTTTTTTCATGATCTTCCGGATTCATCAATATCTGATTACACCCGGAAAAAGCATCCATAAAGGACATCATTTCGTGGCCCGTAGTTGACTCCACAAGTCGATCGATGTGCGGAAGTGGGAAACTATCTTTGGGACATGCTTTATTAAGATCGGTGAAATCTACGCAAACCCGCCATTTCCCATTTTTCTTCTTGACTACAACAGGGTTTGCCAACCAGTCCGGATATTTGACCTCGCGAATCAAACCCGCATCGAGCAGGCGCTGAACTTCAGTATTTACAGCCTCGGCTCGGTCTGGACCAAGTTTCCTGCATTTTTGTTTTACTGGTTTGAAAGTCGGGTCAATGTTAAGCTCGTGCGAAATGACTTTTGTATCGATCCCTGTCATCTCCTCGATTTTCCAGGCGAAAGTTTTTTGATTCCTTTTTAGGAAAGTTATCAGTTCGACTCGGAGTGTTTCGCTTAATCCCGATCCTATTCTCACAGTTTGATCCGGATACTCCTCATTAACTACCACTGCCTCTACGAGGTCACTGCTTATCTTTTTGACGGGATTTGCAGGCACCTCGAGCTGTGGTTGCTATTGAATTTTAAGCTTATGACTGGACATGTAACACATCCTCGTAGCTCGCTGACTTCCCAGGATTTGCTTTACTCCGGATTTCGTAGGGAATTTCAAGCATTGATGATACGTTGAAGGTACTGCTTTCATCTCATAAATCCAGGGTGTTCCCAAGATA